CATGGCTGACCTGCGGTGTTTTCTTGGGAACCTGATCCGTTTTTGTCCAAGAAAAGGATGCGGAAAAGGGTCCCTAAACGCTGCGATTTTGTGGGTTTATAGGCAACCATTGTTATGTAGAGAACCAAGTGATCTAAAGCAAGTTTGGGGCCTGGCGTTGTTTATTGTTGGATTCGATAGGGGGTGGCTTATAGGCAAGATTTACCCTCTGGCAATCAAGCATGACCATTTCTTTTGATGAATTTCCCACTAAGTAACCTCCATTTGGTTTGGGGGATATCCCAGCTACTCGCTAATTAGACAATGAATCGCAATGATGGGAACATCCTAAGGTATTTTGAACGAGGGACTTGTCCCCCGGAGCCTATTCCCCCCAGCATACTAAATTTGCAGTACTCCTGAATAGAAAATCTTGTTTGCAAACAGGTGTGATTTTCAGTTGAGCCGGTTGTTTTATTCGAGTTCCTGCCCTCATTCTTGTCACATCCAGCCAAAATTGAGCACCTCCCGCGCAAACCAGAAATAAACATGCATATGATCGAGATAATTTGTGCGACTATCTAACATCTAACCATTGATGGTGATGGTTCGACCCGTGAGGTTGCTGCCCAGTTAGCAGCAAGGCCATTTTCCAGCTGCCTCCCAGAGATCAGTTCTCAAGCTCCGGTGCCCCTCATTGCAACGTCCAATGATCAGGTCAGTTTGTCACAAGTTGGCAGTGGCCAGCTTGGCCCCATGCAGTTGGTAACTCTGGAAAATCTTCGGTCAACTTTGGCAACGTTTTGGCATTTTGACAGAAAGAAACCGCCAATAGGGTACTCCAATTCCAAGAGTCTAATCATAATTTCCCCATATTTCCTCCATGAAAATTGCAATCTCAGGGTATACCACATTCTTGGAAGATCTTGGGAGCTTGAGAAACCCTTCCTGAGGCTTTGATGTTTTTCTCTGCATTTTTGCTGCACATGTTTGAGGCGCGATCTCCCACTGCAAAAGCGCAAAGGGGCTTTGGCAAACGGGGAGGGGGGTTGATGGCAAATGGTGCAGCAATGGAGAGATCATGGGGATATTTTTATCTGTATTAATTATATCAGCAAACATTGGGAATATATACATATATATATACCATCTGGTTATTTAACAGTTCGCCATGGAAAGATCCACCATTTTTAATGGGAAAACCATCTATAAATGGGCCATGTTCCATGGCTATGTTAAATAACCAGAGGATATATATCAACTAAGAATCTGTTGGTGGCTGAGCCACCAATTACAACATTTATTCCTGACACAAGCACTTCGATCATTCCATCTCCTGCCAATTCTGGATTGGGGGTGGTCCGCGCAAGTAATGACTAGCCATTTATAAATCACTGGTGGACATCAGAATGGGTTTGCTTCACCGTAAACAACAGTATCATTCCAGCTGTTGGATGCAAGATCTCTTCACATCACAAACGTATTTCGAATGACCAATCCCTATGTTTCTATGTGTAGCTGCAGCTCCTTAGCGCCCCAAAGAGATCCTCCACAGCCAGAAAATAATATATTTAAACGTTACCAAATTACATAGATCTTGTTCATTGATATCCAAATTGATTATTATTACTACTGCATTATAACTATTTTTATTATTGCCCAAATAATAAATCTGACTGAGCTAGCAACTCCCTCCCTTCAGCAAAAAGCTTGGCCACTGCCAATGTTAAAAAATGATAAAAATGTGATCGCTACAGCGTCTTGGCACCGTGGTCTGCCCAGCGCATGTGGTTCCACGCCACCCGCACGGGTCCTGATCTACCGCTGGTGCGCAAGCCGCCAAAGAGGTACTGTGCTTACGGTGACCCAATGGTCATGGGTTCACTGGAGTTCCCCAAAACTGATCTGGTTGGTGGTTTTTTTCGCCACCCCTGTGAAAAATATGAGTTCGTCAGTTGGGATGATGACATTCCCAATAATTATATGGAAAAAAAATGTTCCAAACCACCAATCAGTGATTTATCCAAAATTATCCAAATTGCTTTTAGCGCAACATCCAGAGTGTTTCCAGTTCAATCATGTCAAATCCAACACTTTCCAGTGCAACCCAAGAGCGCTACTGTACCAAGCCAACAGCGACCTGTTCAGGTGCCAACAGGTCGCATTTACCTATTGGCGTCCATCGCGAATCCGATGCGACTGTGTTTCTCAGAGCGTATGCACAGCGCCAGACACATGCCATGGCCATACCTACAAAAAATCAAGCATAGTCTGAACAATTGAGCCACACTGGATCAATTCACTCATGTACACATAGATTCGTACAGATTCATATAGGTTTTATGTATACACTATGAAGCGTGGGGTCGCACATGATGTTATAAAGTTGGGCAGGACCATTGGGTTTTTTCTGCATTCACAAGTGGGGAAATTTCCCCGTGGAGTTGCTGAGGATACTTCATGTCAACTCCATTGGCAAAGGCTTCTTTGATGAGGGAATCAAGGGTACCATCTGGTTATTTAACATAGCCATGGAAAATCACCATTTTTAATATTTAGGTAAACCATCTATAAATGGGTAATTTCCAATGGCTATGTTAAATAACCAAAGGGTAATTCATCAACCGGGTCTTCAACAGGTAGAGACACGGTTGTGTTGCCACAACCTACAGCGCTAACACATCTAATTTGGCAGTGATTTCAGTACTCTGAAAACATGGCTGTTGAGAAAACACCTGGGTCCACCTTCAACACGACACCTGTGATTTAAATCTGTACTTTGTGTTAACTAAACATAGCTTACGGTTTCAAGATTTTCCCAGACGTGGATCAATAAAATATCATGCTTCTCCTTGATGAAACACGCGTCAAACAAAAAACTAAAGGCACAATGGTGGAGTTTGCCCTTCCGGAGAAGTTGCTCAAACTATATACCTTCGAACAAAGTTTTCCCTTCAGTCTCACTGACATGCTCAATCTTGCACCCGCGCCAACTACTCATTTTGTTCATGGAAAGGCGCATGCTTCATCTTAACAATCCAGGTGCTAACGGCTAATAACTTTGCTTTCAACAATCATAAGTTTTATGATATAACCAACTTAACTATGGCTATATAGTGTCATATATATATATACATATAACCGCAAATCTAATCATTCACTCACCTGAAAATAACTGCAACCTAAGCATCCAACGACGTCACGAGGTGAATCCCAGCTGCTGATGGCAACACGGTAAACCCAACAATAAATGATTCCCAAATGGTAGGTTTACATGGTCAACCTTTGGTAGTCCACACAAAATGAATATTTTCCTGGTTATGGTTATTTTCCACTAATGGGCAACAAAAACTAAGAATTGGTGGCTACTTATCCAGTTGGTTGGGGATGATGGGTTTCCCAGAGTAATTCAACAAAAACAGCTGAGAAATAGAGGCAGCAAACTGAGAAACACCTGTACCCGGTGGGCAAGGGCCCGGTGGGCAAGGGCCCAGGTCATGCACTTCGTGCCCGTCCTGCCCCACGGTTCATCAAGAGAGAGGTTAACAATGGAGATGTTAGTAACGCTCCAAAAACGAGATGGGAATCCAAATAATCCAAGTTTCATCAACCAGACTGCTGCGATGGGAACCATCAGAAATGAAGGTTTAACCATGGGACAAACTGACTGGGGAACATGACTGCGTTGCTTTTATGTGTAAGACATGCATCAAACATCTTAAGCATAACACGGCAAAAACATGAATCACGAATCGGATCTAAGCCCCTGCTAGGACTGGGTGATAAAGGCCACCGGCTTAGATCCTGCAAATTCTATTGCAATAGACCTGACTCATGCTTTGCTGTAAATTCTCATGTTTTTCCTTTTTATATGATTTGCACTTTGGCTTCTTGTGCTTACCTCAGCCTCAGCAACATGTCCTAATTAGGGCATTGAACCTCATTATATAATATGTATAATGTATATATATATATATATTAATATATGTATATATATATATATGTATAAAAAATATATGTATATATGCATATGTGTATATATATATGTATATATATGTATATATATATATATATGTATATATATGTATATATATATATGTATATATATGTATATATATGTATATATATATATATATATGTATATGTATATATATGTATATGTATATATATATATATATATATATGTATATATATATATGTATATATATATATGTACATATATATGTACATATATATGTACATATATATATATATATGTTCGAAATCAATCAATAAATAATTGCCAATTGACTGTCCCTCAGTCTCTTGGTTCACTCATTGGGGGGTGGTAGCCTCTAACGACCAAACCTTGAAACCACCATCAACAGGTCAATCATCAACGTGTCCTGGGCGTTGAGTTCGCAAACTGTTTGCTGCTGAGATCCCTATTGTTCACATGTAAAAATCACCAGAAAAATCCTATGTGCTCCTTAGTAAGACCCACATATCATCAAAGGCTAATCGCACCGGGCGAAAATCCTGCGAATAACCCCCTGTGGTTTGCGCCTGAAAATCTGGATTTCAAGCTGCCGAAATCTGATCCGATGGATCTCCGTTTGGTATTCAAATTTGACCAATCTTCACCCATTTTGTAAGATATGCACATAGTTACACGTGCATGTATATATATATATATACACATAAGACAACAAGATAATAGGTAACCACCAAAAAGGTATAGAGATGACATATGATGAAATACAAAAAAAACAGCACTGCGACGTGGCACTCACTGGTTTATGTCCATGTCTTCAATACCGTCAGCCATTGAAAACCCAATCATGAACCATTACAGATTTTTCTGCTTAGATCCCCAGGCTCTAAGTTGGTGTGTACTTACACCCCATTTGCTAGTTTGCTATGTCTACCATAGACCATAGCGAAACTACGTCTATCACCTCTCTCCCCAATTTGTCGTGAAATCCCCTTACATGTTTGGATATGTTTGGTTCCATCAAAGTTTTGTGCCCATGGGGGATGTT